AAGATGTGACATCGAGCTTAAAAAATTTCAGTCCAGATGCCCATATGCCCATATGCATGACAAATTTTCTTTTACTTTTCCTAGGTTTAACGGTATCCTTCATTTGAATTTGAAGCTATCGTTCAATTTGAGTAGGGAATAAGTGTGGTTATCCTCCAATTAAATGATCTAATTTATTCTATATATTAAAGATGGAGTACAACTTGGTCAACATTTACTGCCCCCAACATTGTAGAGTCAATTCCTCACATTGTTAGGGAGTGTGCTTCTGATATAGTTAGAATCTGGGCTTTGCAGGATCTGGGAAAGGCTACTAATTTTATGGAAGCTCTGAAATATGGAATAGTTGATATATATATATTGGTTGATATATATATATATATTAATTTGAGATTTTCGGCGTCTAATAATCATTTTAAATTTCAAAAATTTAAATTTGAATAGGATTGAATCCTATAAAAAAGATAAATTATCTCGATACTTATTTTTTTTATTTATAAAACTCAAAATCTAAATTTTATTTAAAAGAAATTAAACTTTTTAATCACTCATACTAATAGACATTGGTGAAACAGTTGATATTTGATTCATAAGAAGGGAAGATTGTTTGTGTCATGTGATCATTATTCTCTTTTCATAAAATTAATTTATTAGAATATAATGCCAATGATCATATAGTCAATAATTTTTTTATTCTAATTAAAATTAAAACATTTTATCTATTTTCTTGAAATATGAACGTAACTTTTGCTCTTATACCTAAATCTGTTAAGTTAGACAATCATCATAATAAAATATCATTCTAAGCACTTTTGCACATTTGAAATTAAATTTATTGATTTAATATTAAAATTTTGTCATTATCCTTAATTTCATTATTTTTATCACTATACTTTCGATTCTTAGATAAAAAGTAACAAAATTTATAAAAATTTACTGCATTTGCTTTAATAGAATATTTTATAAAATATTTGTATTTTATTATTTTTATCCAAAAATAATAAAATTTAATAGAATTCATGTACAGTAACAATTTAATATTAACCATAATATAATGACAAATTTAAATTAAAAATAAGATAATTGGAAACCAAAAGAAATTTTTTACAAAGGCAGCTATCAAGTAGGCAACAATGGAGCAGGATTTCCCCATAACCCGAGCTTGTGGGCCAATCATGTCTTGACTAGCCATAGAAAAATGCGAACTTTTGCTTGATTTTTAGTGCACAAGATGTTGATTATGGCAGCAGTCATGGTCATAGGCATGGTTTCATATGCACTTTGCTCGATTTTTGGATACAGAAAATATTATTTTGATTTTTTTTGTCTTTTTGATAATGAAAGTTGAATTAATCATTGTGCCAGCTAACGTTTCAATCACTTGATATGTTGTCAGTGCTAAAACTTAGAGATAATAAATTTTAAAGAGTTTATGTGCATAATTATTTTTTCAATCAAGTAAATGTAAAGAAAAAAAATTAAAATTAGATTAATAAATTTAAAAAATCAACATTCCCTTCAAAATACATTTATTTCAATTTTTTTCCAATTTTTTTTTTAAAATTTAAAAATTCAACATATTCCAAATAATAAACTAATTTTCCAAATAGTACACAATTTATAAAAGAATATTATATAAAATGGGCCTGGGCTAGGGTTTAGCATTGGAGACATCTGGGCTCAACCGAGGCTCTTGACTAATAATTACTAGTCCAATTTGCGGTGATAGTATTAGAAGCCAAAGCCGGCAAAGTACTGTATTCATAAAACGCACCGTTTCAAGGTGGTCAAATCAAAAGTAGCGATTAGATTCGGATGCCTTGGCTAACAGTTAACGGGAAAACTTTTCTTCTATTGATTTTCAATTGATCAGTCTTTATTATTTCTGGGTTTAGTTTTATATTTCCTTTCTTTTATCTTGAACTACTTTCTTCTTATTCTGTTCTTCCTTTTTCTTTGTTATATGATTTTTTTTGTCTGTCCATATCAATCTAAAAAAGGAAATTTTTATTATTATTTTTTAAAAAAATTTGTTTGGGTAATTTTTTTTATTTATGGGGCATTTTGAATCTTTCACAAACATCAATTTAACTTATTTTTCAAAATTAATGCATAATTTTGTCATAACTAAGGAAACCAATCATAAATTAATTTTATTATATTCCTAATTTGCTTTTCTTTCTCTTTTATCCTTTTGTTATTGTCTTAGCTTTTTGCTTTTTGAGTTTGCAAAATTGACACAAAAAGTTGAGTTTATACAGGCAGTGCCAGTAAGGAACCAGGTTAACATGAATGAATCTAAACCTTATAATTTCCCATCAAAATACAACATGATTTTTATTGTAATCTTAGAGGATTATTATTATTATTATTATTATTATTATTATTATTATTATTATTATTATTATTATTATGGGTTATATGTACTAAAATAAAAATAAAATAAATTTAAAATATAATTTCATTGATTCGTATAATTATGTTTAAAATATGAATTTAATAAATAAAATCTTTTGTAATATGTTTCTTACGATAATTAGTAAAATTGCTCCATAAGCAATAAAACGTATATTTATTCAGAAATTTATATTCAATTTATGCCTTTCCCTATAAGAACTCCAAATTTGGATGTAATCTTTTAAAGTGATCAATTTGATATATTTAATATAACTTTAGTGATTTGAATGAGACAAATTAAAGTTTAATGATTCAGATGAAATTTAGATATAAATTAAGTGATCTTTAATGAAATTTATCGTATATAGATTGAGAACCATTATGTTAGATGGAGATTGGCAGATAGGGAAGCAGAAGGGAAGGGCCACAAATACGAGGTCAGGTCATAAATCTTTATTGAATACCTGAACCAAGAATTGGTGTCGGTATGGTAGAGAGAAAATTAATAAAAATATTTAAAAGTTAAACAATAAATGGGGGTTCAAGCCCCAACAACAACCCGAGTGAAGGAGGAGCTGCCTATTTATTATTGTTTGTTGGCACTGGTAAAGCTCTCAAGGCTCCCCTCATTTATGCCTGCCTCCTTCCAACACTGCTTTGGCTTATCAAAAGCTCTCTTAATTTTCTTTTACATGATCTTCACCTATCTCCAACATTTAATGTGTGCTTGCATAACTCAAAAGAAATTTGATCAGTTGTTGCAGTCAATTAATCCCAATATATAAGCTTGCTTATGTAGTTCAAGAATCAAACACTGAGAGCATATATATAATATATACTAGAAACTTAGGGTTTAACAAAATTAATTCATGTACTCGAATGTAAAAGATGACATCGATTCAAATTTTAACGTATAATCTATTTTTTTCTGTCATCAAGTTATTAGTGTTATATTTATAGTGGTTAATAGAAAAAGTTAAATTTAAATAATAAAAAGAATTTTGGAAAATCGATCGATGATATTCTAAGTTAGATTTACGAATTAATGATTTTAATTAATTATTTTATATATAAAAAAAGTTTATGATTAAAATAAAAGATTCAAATCTCAAAAATAATGTTTTGGAAGAAATATTATTGTTGTTAGACCGAACTTGAATAATTTAATGAAACCTTAAATGCCATCATGTTAAGAAAAAACACACACTAAAAAGTACGTTAATAAAGATGAATGGGATATCAGATTGATCTTTGAAGGGTGAATCTTTTGAGCTTTGAAGTTGAATTGATGTAGCTTAAATGGGACACCTACAAATGTCAGACGAAAATGCATGGCAAAGTAATTGAAACCCAAAATTGTACGTACGATAATCCCTTCTTGTGTGCACAATTGCAGGTCGAGCCAGTCTTCTGCTTCCTCATTTACTGCAAAAATTAGATGTTAGGATCAATGTCATGAATGCGTCCACCAGCAAGCAGAAATTTGCTTCATTTCTCAGTAATAAGTTGTTCAACCAATTTCATCTACATTTCTGTGGTCCCCAAATCCATGCCCTTATTATCTTACCTCTTTATGTAGTCGATTTTTGGTCAGAATAGCTGCCAAATCATGTGTAATATTGACCTAAATTTATGAATTTTGCGATTTGAAGGATAATGGTTAAGGTGTTATATTAGTATTTTTGTGTTTTATTGATTCGATGATTTCTAATGTATTGAGACCTGAAAAATATTATTTTATAGGTTAATTTTAGACAAAATAAAAAAAAATCACAGTTTAAAATTAACAAAATTTTTATATTATATTTGACGTGTTTACATGAATTAAAATACAATAATTTTTATATTTTATATATATTTAACACAAAATAAATAAAATACAGACAGATAAATTGTCGAATTTATATCAAGTGTTTTAAGAGTGCTTGTTATGTATTATTTATAGTTTTTGATGTTATTAAATGCATATAATAATTAGTAATTAGAATATATTAAATTGTGAAATTTTTTTAAATAAAAATCCTAATTAATGCTCTTAGAAGACTCTAAACTCTAAAGTGAAACTCTTCATGTACTAGTGTCATATTCCAAGCTGACGCAACAGGTTTAGAATTGAAGAACCAATTAACTGAGGCCCAAGATGAAATTGTTGGTTTGAAGTTTGAAAGGGGCTCAGGAAAAATATAGGTGAATTGCTTCCAGGTTATCTAATCTCATATGAGAAACATTTTTTTTTTTTTTTACAAAAAATGCCGCAACCCAAAAATATGAGATGGGATTGTAGGTTTTGGGATTCGAAACAGTTTAATTTCTTTCTTGGCACCATCAAGCTAGCTATCCTGTCCTGCTGTTACAAGGAGTGCTACTATTTCTTTTGTGTGTGTGTATGTATGTATGTATGTATGTATGTGTATATATATATATATATATATATATCAATTTTCGCAGATTATGAATCCCCTGAAGTCATGAAAATTTAAGTTCAAGAAAGGATGGAGCAGAGAATTTATGAAGAACTTTCCACAATTTAAATGGGAGGTGCAGTTCATTTTAAATGTTATATATATGTAAGAAGAGAGCAAGTTTTGGGAGCATTAAAGTACTTTTAATGCTTGGTCTGTCCTCCTTTTAATGGGGTTTGATGAACCCAATTTAAGAACCCTCTTAAGTGGAAACACTCTCATTGCATGACTGCTTCTGCAATCCAATTTCACTACCATTTTTCTCTGCTTGATCATATCCCAAAGTTCAATTTCCTCCCTTGTACTTCTCTTCTTTTCTCTCCTTGTTCTTCAAGGAGAAGAAAAGGATTTGAAGGAGTTATTGTTGCTAGTTTTTCAAGGATATTATGGAACTTACAGAGCTCTCTTTAGCTTCAAACCAATGTGTTGCTGCTGACAAAAGCTGCAATATTAGTTCATCATCTGATCAGGCTGATTTCAACTTTCCTTCCAAGAGGAGGAAGCTTTTCCCAGATCACTTGTTCAATGATGGATCACAAATCCAAACCATTGTTGATCTTCAAGTTAAAGACCCGCTACCGCTAGACTGGGAACAATGCCTTGATCTTGAAGTATCTTTCTGATCTCTTTTAAATTAATTGATTCCTCTTCCAACTCTTTCTATGGTGAATGCTTAGATACTGTTTGATTCAGACTTCTATTATAATCCTTGTTTAAGATATAGTTAATGGGTTCAATTATTTGTCTTAAATGTTTTAATTTATCACATGCACGCGCATGCATATACATATATGTTTATGTCAATATTATATGATCCTTAATCTAGGTGTTTGGGTGTCTGCAGTCAGGTAGAATGTACTACATGAACAGGAAAACATTGAAAAAGACATGGAACTGGCCTAAAGATCAGAAGCTAGACCTTGAACTCAACATCTCGCCGCATTCGAATTGCTCCAAACAGTGCAGCAGTTCTACCTCATTTGAAGACTGTAACAAGCAACATTCTTCAGGCACTAACATGGTGGCTTTGGCATGCTTGAATTGCCATCTCCTTGTCATTCTCTCCAAATCTTCTCCTGCTTGCCCCAACTGCAAGTATGTCCACTCTCTTCCTACAATACAAGCCCAACCACCAAAAGTTTCAGCCATCAAGTCTCTGGATACCTTAAGCCTCTTGAACTAATAAAATAGATCAATCATGTTAGGGGAGGCTTTAAGGCATAAATTTTAAAACCCTTTGCCAGAACTGGTAATATTAGTATAATGTTAAGTTTCATGGATGTATTCAAAAACAGTAAATATAATCTAGGCAAAAGTGTTTTCCATGTAGTTGACTTTGTTATATATTCTCATTTTGTTTGGTGTTGGCCCTTGGGGGCCTCTGGGGTAAGAAGCATTAAATTTGTAGAATGAAAGTCTCCCCAAATATTAAGTCCTATCATCAAGAATGTAACGAGTTTCGTATTTAACTTAATTTATTAATGCAATCACTTTTAATAAATAATATTTGTTCGAGTGATAAGTCAACCTTTCAAGATAAAAGATAAAATCAAGAAACTTCATATCTAAACCCTAACTTAAGGTTGGAGCAACATATTTGCCTTCGGATTTTCATTAAAAAAAATCAATATCGAGTGGCTGACATTTACAAAGGGTTGTTTCAGTTTCCGTTGTGCTTGGAATTAGCTAGCAGCGAAGCACTCGTGTGGTGACCCCAAAGTACTAAAGTAGAGTCAAAGGCATAAATACAGATCTGTTAAGCTGTAAAGTTTTCAGGCTGCATTGCATTTAATCACCAGGTGACATGTTTCACCTTCTATGCTTCTACTCTTCAGCAATCAAACGTATAGACTTCTTTTAATTGTATAGACTTGCATTGCAGTTTGATTGAATTCTTTAAATTTGACATAATAACCAAATTTGCCATTATGATAAGTTTGCTTTCAATCAAATTTTTTGCCAATCATAATCAACACCAAGCCAATTAAGAGAAGGTTTTATAGGAAAAGGGGCTGCCTGGCCATCAAACATAGTTTCAGCATTACAAACCTACTAAATTTAAGGTAATATGTTAGGAATAAAATCCTATTTTTCAGAAAACAATAATAAAATAAATTCAAAAAAATTAAACACACGAGATTTATAGTAATTGACTCTCAATACAAGAGTTATTACAATTAAAGGTGTAATCAATTAAGTTCGAGTCGATACAGTTTTAAGTTCGAGTTCAAGCTTGACTCCAAATTCGATGTTCAAAGCTTGACTCCAAATTCGATGTTCAAAACTTGACTCGAACTCGATCGAATTTTATTTTTTTAATTTGAGCTTAATTCAAAATAGAAATCGAACTATTCGAGCTCGTTTGATTAAGCTCAGTTATGTAAAAATAAACTCGATTCTTATATTTGACAAAAACTCAATTATTTGTGCTTTAATTCGAACTTAAATTCAAGATATTTTATCAATTAAAATAATTAAAATATAAAAATTCGATTAGACTCGTGAGCTAATCGAGTTGGGTATAAAAATATTCGAACTTAGCTCGATTGATAAATCAAACTATTCAAACTCAAGCTTGACTCGATAATAATCGAGTCAAATTCAAATTTTATTCGAGTCGAATCTGAATAGTTTACAAATACTAATGTATCATTTACATCCTTAACTATAATTTTATAGTTGATATAAAACTGGTAATCCTTTAAATATAAGCATAATTAGGACGATCAAATTATATATAAAAAAAACTCAAAATACCCTTAATATTATTGGAAATATCCAAAGGTTGATGCATATTTTATCTGCATAGAAATAATAAATTTTAGGATAGAAATTAAGTTACACAAACTTAAAACATTAATTATGTTTACAAGATATAAGAGACTTTATGTAAATGTGATAATAATTCAAATTAGATCACTAGATTTCATTTTTTTGGATAATATATAATATTATAAAATTATAAAATTTAATTTAAATTTGAATTAATTTTTTATATGATCTGATTCGATCCGAACCGAATTTGTCCAATTTGGTTTGATTCATCAATTATTTTTATTTTTATTTTTATATATTATTTAAATATAAATTTTTTATATATTTAAATAGTTTTAGATATAATAAATTATTATTATTTTACAAAAATTTTAAATATAAATATAAAAGCTAATAAAAATATAATTTGGTTTGTTTTTTTTTAATTTTTAACTTTTTGATCAAAATCTAATATATATATATATATTTAATGTTTAAATTTAATATAAATCAAATAAAAAATCTATCAAAACCGAATCGAATATTATAATTTTAAATTAATTTTTTATTTTTTCAATTTTTTCTTCTTACCCTTACTTCTATGATAAATTTAAACTCTCTTAAATTTATGATCATTTTAAATGTAAAAATAAAAATGTGAAATAAGCAATGCAAGCATGTTTAATACAATAATAGTCCATGTTTGGTTGAGACTTTCAAGCACACTGGGCTTACAAGGCTGCCTGTCAAGCTCCGGACCGAGGGGCATATGCCTTAACTAAGGTCCAGTGGACAAGCTTGACATGAGCCGTCGCATTAAACTGGCTGTCTAGGGCTGCAGGCACAAGACACAGGAAAATTCTAATCAAAGTGTTGGAGCTTGACATATATGAACGTATTAAACGTTAAATTTACCGCATATGTTAATTCAGGATTCCAAACTTTACTTATACCACAAATGACATAGCCTGAGTCAACGCTGAACATAATGTTTTAGTTGGAGTTCGATTTAAAATTATTATTTTATTAATAAAAGTATTATTATTTAATTTTTATTTTAAAATATTAATAAAAAATATTTTTTAATATTTTAATATATAAAATTTATTTTTAAAAAAATAAAACACTTTTAATAAAAAATCATTTAATTGTTGTATATCTATTTCCAAAAATAAAAAATAATATAATTAAAAATTCATTTAAATGAAGAAAGATTAAAATTAATAATAAAAGTTATTATAATTATCATTGAAGAAAAAATTATTGTAATTGTAATTTAAAAAATTATAAAAAATTTTATATTAAATAAATTTTATTAAAAATAATATTTGAATTTAATTAATAATAAAATAAATTCAATCATACATATTGATGGGATGGAATTCAAAATCACACTAAAAGGTTTTTTATCAATGGAGAACATTAAGAGTGTAATTGATCGAGTGCGAGTCGATATAACATTAAGTTCGAGTTCGATTCGAAATTCAAGACTCAATACTCGATTCAAATTCAATCGAGTTTTTATTTTTTAGTTCGAACTTGATACGAGATAAAAATTGAGCTATTCGAACATGTTTGATTAGGCTTAATTAATATGTAAAAATAAGCTTGATTTTTATATTTGATAAAAATTTGATTATTTGTGTTTGAGTTTGAGTTCAAATTTGAGATATTTTATTAATTAAAATAATAAAAATATATTTAAATATAAAAATTTAATTAAACTCGTGAACTACTCTGATCGAATATAAAAATATTTGAAATTCGACTCAATTAATGAGTGAAACTATTCAAGTTCAAACTCGACTTAATAATAATTAAACCAAATTCAAATTTTATTCAAATCGAATTCAAATAATTTATGAATATTAATATTTCATTTACACATTTTTACTTTAAAATTTGGAAGACAATAACAATTGAAAAAAAAAAATCCACTGAGGTTTTGATTGGAGTTAAAAGTCGACAAAATAATCGGCTTTCTTTTTGGCTACCACATGCCCTTAAATTTTGATTGGACCGTGACATTTATAGCAACCTTAATTTTCCAAACAAAGACATTATATTTATAGTAAGTATTTATTTTTGTCGTGAGTAAGATAAGGCTAACCTGTCGTCCACTGGCTACTACTAATAAAATAAAATGGGATATATTTATTTAATCAATCAATCAGAGCCGTTAACTTTCCACAACGAAGGTTGGGTGCGATTCAGTGTATGAGTATAACCCCATACGTGGTCCCATGTTTATTTGTTTGACTTCTTGGTTACAAAATTTATTTTTAATAAATTTAATTTATTTATAGCACCCAAAAGATATTTTGTTTGTTCTTATAATTGGATTTTTTTTCTGTTCATGAAATAAAAAATAATTATTTTTTTCAAATAAATGAAATCAAATTTATTTTAATTTTATAATCTATTATTTTCATAAATTTTTTTTATGCAAAGAGATATCGAAGTTTAAGGAATAGAAAAAGATAATTACAATTATTCGAGATTGAATTATAATTTTATGAAACTTCAAGCCTACAACATAATAACGACACATCTCAAATATGCTAATGATTTTTGTATAAATTGAAACTAATTTGATGACTTTCAAACAAAATTAATGAAAAAATTTGCAAAATTTTGCCAATTTTTAGTCCTATTAATATAGAGTGGAAGTGCCACTTAATTATGGCTAATTGGACATACAAAAGATAAACTTACTTAGATAGTTAGAGAGAATTATTTATTAATTATAATTATAATTTCATATTAAAATGCATATGATATTTACAATAAAAATAAAAAAATATAAAAAAAAATTATCAACTTGAGTCCTCGATTTTAACCCGTTTTATATTTGGTTATTTAAATTATGTTCCATTGAGAGTAATATAAAGTACATAAGAAACATCTTTTACTTAATAGCAAAGAGTTTGAATTAAGATTTTAAATGGTTTGGGTTAAGGTATTGGAGCATCTAATTTCATCATAGACCTAAGGACATTAACCTTGCAAATTGGTCTTAAAGAAGCATTCAAATAATGTTTTCTTATGTCTATATATTGATAAGGAGCAAAAATAATTCGAGGAAAGAGTTAAAAAAAAAAAACGAAGAAAGCATGTTATTTTTTTTATTTAATATTACTTAATATAACAAGAATAATAAATTAAGTTTTATACTTCATAATTCTGAAATTTATTATTTAATATTACCTAATAAAAAGAAAAAAATATATAGATTTGCTTAATTATACGACTCAAGATTAAATCATTTCATAAGTGGAAGAGAATGAAAAGAAACATAAATTTTCTTCTTTTTTCCTTTGGTTTTGGCTTTTTTATTTTTTCCGAGTACTCTATTTTCTTTCCGTTTCACTAAATATAATGTTGATAAATAATGAGAATAGTAATATTAAACATATGATATTAATAGAGTTAATTACAATAGTTCTTTTTTAAATAAAATGTAAAAAAATATATATATTTTTGTGTGTAAATTTAACCATTCACTTATTTATATTGTGTTCATTTCAAGTCAAACACGTAAAATAAAAAATTATCATATTAAATTTATATCAACATAATAAGTATGAAATATATTTTTTTATTTTATTTAATTTATATATAAATTTTATTAAAATTTTACATCATATTATTTTTTTATTATTTATATATCATTATTATATCGTATTATTGTATCATATTTAAAATTATTGAATTTTTAAAAAAATTGTACCTAACTTAAAAATGAATAAAAAGTAATTAAAAAAAATGAAGAAAACACGTGAATTACGCCAAATTCAGATAAAACAAAGCAAAAATTATAAACAAATAATAATTTACTATTTGTGGTGATGTAACAAAAAATCACCAATGCGTGATGGAAGCAAAACCTCATATAACATTCCCCATGAAGCAGGCATCCCTCCTCTGAGCTATGAACAAACCTTCGACAATTTCTTTCTCTTTTCAGCTTATGTTTTTTTCCCTCTCTTTTCCTTTCTAATTCTTCCTTTTCTGACTAGAGAGCCATGTACCCTTCATCTTCGTCTCAACAACCCGTGGGCCAAACAGGATTAACCCGTTACGGCTCAGCCCCGGGTTCCCTTCTTACCACCGCCGTTAATTCCGTTATAGGAGCTGGTTCTAACCTCGTCAGCCACTACTTCTCCGCTCACTCATCGTCATTAACATCGGAGTCAACTTGTAAAGTCAGCTCATCCAACCACCCACAAGAGCCTAAATCTGCTGCTCCTCCTCCCCATGGATCTTACCCTGCACCTTCTTCTTCCTCTTTGCTCAGACAACGTAGCTCTCCCGCTGGTTTCCTACACCTCTCAACCGAAAACGGTAATGCATTTTTTTTCATTCTAGGACGGTTTTATCCTTATTATATTTGAGAAATCATTATCCACTGAAGGGTAATTTCGACTTCTTAAATTTATTCCTTTTATTGGCGGCTTTCTTCCCGAATAATTTACCGCATTAGCGTTGACCACTATTTCATTGACAAAAAAGGTCACATCTATTAAGTTTAATTTGCAAAATAAACCTTCAAAGGATAATCTTGAATGTCCATGAAATTTCATGTAGCTTCCACTATCAGGTAATATTGTTTGATATCTTACAAAATATTTCAAGTTTTTTATTACATTAATTTAATTGTAAAAATTTAAATTTAATTTCATATTTTATCATCCATATTTATTATTGATGAATATATTTAGTGATCATTTACCCAAAGTTGGGTATGATATTCTTTTAATTTCACTTATAAATTAAAATTTTATTTTTAATTTTTATTAATAAAATATCTAAATATCTTAATTACCTTAAATCAACTTTTATCTTCATGAATGTGTATTTTCTTTTTGGCACATCTTTAGGCCGTGTACAATTAAAAGCTAAATGTTAAAAAACACGATAACATTTGAAGCAAAAATGTGCATTTTAGTATAAGGTTTTGTATTGGAATAATGTTACAAATTGTTTATAAATTATAGTAAAATATTTAATGTAATATATAAATTTTAAGAATTTTTAATATAATACTTGAATTATAAATATATTAATTAATATGATACTTTGATAATTATTTGTATGTCATATATTATAATTTGAAACTAATCATATTAAAAATAAATTTCATATTAATTAATAAATTTATAATTCAAGTATAAAATTAAAAATTTTTAAAATTCAAATATCATATTAAATATTTCATTATAGTTTAGAGTTATTTGTAATATTAAACTTTTTGAATTTAATTCTTTCATTAGTTTAAAATTTCCATAATTTGTTTCAACCAATCTTTTTTAGTAACAAAAAGTGATTTTTTTTTTGTTTAAATATCATAGCCTGCCATTTATGATTTAAAAATATGGGACAGATAGATTCCTCCAACCCAAGTTAGGTTATAGTGGCAAGCCCTTTAATGAATAAAAATGAATTTTCCAAAAGCTTCATCTAACCACGTTCAAGTTTCTTACGACATAAAAATGTACAATTTTTTTTTAAAATGATACAAAACGGAGATTAGACACAGCAAAAGAGTAGAAAAAACAAAAGAAGAATAAAATTAAGAGTTCGTTTTTTATATGTTCTTAGTGAAATTTTTTAATTTTGTAAATAGAGTTAAAAGATTTATATGTATTTTTTAATTAATTTTTTAATTTTTTAATTAAAAATTACCTAATTCATTTTCAGTAAAAATTTTAAATTTCACATTCAAAATTATTAAGGTGACACATATATTAAAAATTATTAAAAATTTTAAAAAATAAAATATTAATATTCTCTTAATCTCGAGTTAAAAAATTACATTAATAATATATAAGAAAACTCATTTCTAATATACATAAAAAGGTACGTGCTAATATGCTAACTCTAATTGTAAAAGTCTAAAAGCTCTATTGTTTTTTATCAGAGATTTTCAAAATGATATATAAAAAATAATTCCACATTGAAAAGGAAAAAACAAAAATAAATAATTAAATATGTTCAAAATAAAAAGATAAGTCTGTTTAAAATAAACAATTTGAACTGTTAAAAAACAGATAATTTTTGTTTATTCAAAATAGATAGTCATGTCTATAGAAAAATATACTTATCTATTTATAAAAAACTTTTTTGATTTTTTTAAAAATATATAAAAATAATTCTTGAAACTCTCTCTCATTTCTTAAAAATTCAAATTTTTTTTATAAAAGTTTTGTTGCAAAAAATCTATGTAGAAATTCAATGATCTTATGATATGTCAATGGTTGTTTAATCAATTAATTTCATCATTACAAAATACAATCTCAAAGTTTATTGTTTGTAATCCTTTTGCACATCTACTAAGTAAATAATATAATAAAAATAAATAAAACTTTAAGAAAAGTAACATCGTTATACGTCTTGAAATTTTTTTTTAATTTTAGATTTATTAAAAATAATAATTTAAAATTTTCAGCATTTGCTCTCATAGGATGAAATAATTTCTCTAAAATTAATGGTTAGACAAAGTTATAGATAGCCAATCCATGCAAACCACCATGTTCTTGCTGGCAGATGAGGTATTAAAGGGTAAGTGTCACGTGTCTAACATAACTCCACCGATATTTTTGGAATCCAACATTATGCTTTTATTTTACTCTATAAAATTTGATGTAGATGCATAAAATAGTATATGCTTTGTGTGGTGAATATCTTATGATTTGCAGTTGGACAAGTGGGAATAAAGTAAGATAAATGATCTTGGTAACCCATTAGGATACAATACCAGTGGGATAAGAGGGACTCGAAGCTAGCCCTGTTCATATTTTTTTAACTCTTTCAGAAAAGTCATCCTAATGAAGTTTTTAAATGAGATAACGTCACAAAATCTCTTATAGTGAAATATTTAATTTCATAATTGATTTTAATATTGTTTTAATATAATATTTGAATTATAAATTTATTAATTAATATGATATTTAAAGTATTATTTATCCGTTACGTGTTATCATTTAAATTAATCAAACTTAATAATTTAAAATACGATACGAAAATAAGATACGAATGTGACATGGTTTAAAATTATAATAATAATTATATATGAGTTTAACAAAATAAAAAAAATTATATTTCATATTTTCATATCCATACGAATTAAGACATGTAATAATTTTCGTGTAAAATACGATACAAATACGTGAATTTTAATATTTTATATTATATAATTATACGAATTGTCAGGTCTAGAGCTAACCACATTAACAATGAGTATCACATTAGAGAATTTTAAATTTTATATACTATATTAAAAATTTTATTATAATTAAAGAGTTATTCATAATATTAATTCTTTTTAAATTTCATATTCAGGTTTGTAAACTTAACTTGTTACATATTCATTTAATTATGATTAGGAAAATTAATAAATTAAAAAAATTACTTAAATGGACATATGTTAAGAAAAAAAACATGCTTTAGTTAGGAGTTTAAAACTTTTATTGTCTATTTTAATAAATTTATATCTAAATGCAAGTTTTACTTGTTTATTTTGAAAATTAGTTTACAACTAGATAGAGTCTAGATTATTTGTTCTATATAGATATGATAAACATGTGGAATGACAAGGAAGAACAGTACAAAAGAAAACTAATAAAAGTAATGCATAATTTTTTTTTAGAACAATTGAAATTGTATTCATTTCATTTAAAGATGAATTTCGCAACAAAAATTTATTTACCGATGTATTACCCCAACATGGTTAAAATTCATATTACCTTTGTGATGCGTTTGATTTGTTATAGAATGTGATTTTTTTTTTTCCATGGATCACTTGAAGTGAATTAAACACTCTCATTGCAGGTTTTTCTGTTACAAGGGGCACCAGAAATTATAGCTCTCAAGGTGCTAATCGTGGCCATGGAGTGTCAAGATTGAAGTCTCAATTGAGCTTCACAAGACAAGATTCTCTTTCTCAGATATCTGAAGTCAGTGAGGATCTTGTTGATGGTGTTAGCTCTAGCAGTAACCATCAAAATGCTGCACATCCATTTGCTGCTGCTGGCTTTGGAATGGATTCCTGGGATCATACAAATTCCATTGTGTTTTCTGCCCCACCATGCAAGAGGGCTAAAAATATTGATGGCGATAGTTATAACTGTCTAAAAGCCTTGGAAACTCAGGTATATTTTTCTCCCCATTTTAACTGACATCAGATCAGGGAAGAACAATTTAATGGTGTTTGTTTCCAATATCTTATCAGAAAATAAGTATTTTGGAGTATATTATTTCTCATCATCAGCCCCAATATTGTTGAAGTAGGAGCACGATTTTGCATTTATTGTAGCATCATTGATCGCTTTGTCATCACCATGATGAATAACACAGTGTGCTTTAAAGTATTATCATTAACTTCTTATTATTGGCCTTACATACTGCGAATTAATCTTTATTTCAGGTTAGTATGCCACAAACGACACTTGAGATGGCTACAGTGGAAAAGCTGCTACATATTCCTGAACATTCTGTGCCCTGTAAAATCCGAGCCAAGCGTGGCTGTGCTACTCACCCTAGAAGCATTGCTGAAAGAGTAAGTTAAAGTTCAAGAGATTTAATTGCTAGTGATAGATTACTATAACTTATTAGAAATCAAATTGCTTATTTATAGGATAAATGCAGATGTTAATGAAGGTTCATATGATCAATCATATCCTTTCAAATGACCAGTTCCATCAAACTTCACCTTCTGTCTTGGAAAGTTCAATGTCTTTTGTTTATACCTTGCACATGTAAAGCATTTGTAAGGGCTATTGAAGATAGTATAATTTTGAAGTTATATCGCTGTTGGCCGTGCACTGATTGCATCCATGAATCCCATAATTCCTCCATTTCTAGCCTTGCATTCCAGAAACTTTTAACATTGATAATTGTGATACAATATGGAAAAATCACAACTGGACATTCATTGTCCTTTTTTTTCTCTTTTCCTTTTCTATTGGGTTGGAATTTTATTTGATGTGCACATGAAAAGTATTATTGTGGTCTTGAGGATCAATGGCTGCTATGTTAAAAATAGAAGGTACCATGAATCCAAGAAAGAAAGATGACAAGCAAGGGACCCGACAAATGGCGAAAACAATATTCCATCATGCATCCACTAGAGCATAAAGCCCTCGTACCTGCACATGCATGGTAATTTCGGCTCCTTTGTGGAGTAGGTGACAAGTACGATATAGCATAATATAGTAGCTAATGAGTGCAAGAATATGATCTGCACATCTACTTATCGATTCTATAGGTATAGAGGAAGCTAGTCTATAGTAATAGAACATCTTTTTGCGCCCTTAGATCATATAATTGATAATGCTCATTTGCATTTGCTTATGTTAATGTCTTGAAGAAGATTCATGCATTATACACCATAAACTTACAGTTGATTACTAAGATACATGAGCATAGTGTATAAGTGTTTTTTCTTTCCCCCAAGGAATGATCAATCTTATTGAGCATCATTAAACTTATTGTATATGTACAGGAGAGAAGAACAAGAATAAGTGGGAAGCTGAAGAAATTAGAACAGCTTGTTCCTAACATGGATAAGGTAATCGTTTTTTTCTATGCTGGCCTCAGATTGAGTCTATATTTAGGTTGTTTTGAATCATTCATTTCCTCATCAAAGATTGTGGACTTATGGTTTCCAGATTATTGTGGCAAGGGATCCATTTGCAATGTATATACATTATTTTCTACATAGATAATATATCTTTGAAAATCTTCGTGCAGCAAACGAGTATGCAGACATGCTTGACTTGGCTGTGCAGCATATTAAACGCCTTCAAAATGATGTTCAGGTTCGTACATAGTCATCTGAGTGCTTATTATTATGTTTTATTGGCATCGAATTTGTTTCTTTGAAGACCCTCAAATTAGGTTGCTATGATTCTGAATGTTTATAGGTGCTTTTTACAAAAGGGTCACAATATGAAATCTATCTTTGATATATGTGTGTTTGTGCATGCGCATGTGTGCATGTTTGCGCATGCACATTTGTGCATACATGTGTGCATTGTTATAGGACTGATACATTTGAAGCCTTGATGTAGAGTGCATTTAATTCATTAACTTTCTTACCTTTATTTTCTATTGTATAATAAATTCTGTGAATTGGAATTCAAGGGCATGTTCCATTAGGCTTGAGCTGTGTGCAGCAAACTCATAACCGGGAACCATCGATCTAATGTTTGAGAAAGGCCTAGGTTGAAGAACCATGTCTTGGACTCTAGGCACCTGCTTGTCTTATCACCAAGCTATTCCATTAGGCATTCCTTTTGAGATAACGCTTAAGACTCTATCATTAATATATTTGCTACAAGCTGGAGCATAGAGTCTTACATACATCTAGAAGTGAAATATACAATGAGGAAAATCAGTTACCTACTTTAGAATTTTAGTAATCTAGATTACATAGCCAAACCAAGTTGTCTGAGACGAGTGCCCTTAAGAGATAGCTCTGATCTATTTATTGTCTATGAAGAGGTTCCATGGATTTCTTCTGCTTGTGTTACTTCTAAAGCAATGCATTGGTAGGACCATGTGGTATATACCTTTGGTTAATAGATGAACCTGAAATGATGTCCATATTCTATTTTTCTACCTCAAATGCATTAACGAAATGAAATTCTATTAGCTGATGATGCCTCTCATAGCATCTATGGATCCAATACATGAGGTAATTGGTGGTACCAAAAGGCACTATTGTTAATCAAGAATGTTGATTGCAAAAATGATAGATCAAGTGGTAGATCATGAAAGATGTCAGTATGGGAATACTGTAGCCCCACAGAATGTACCAACACTGAGTGTTTATTTCGTTGGAATTAAGGATAACTACTAAAATGGCAACATGGCTCATAATCATTGAGAATAGGCAAACTAAGGAGAGTTTCAGCTTTCTTAATGGGTTTGATCTTAGCCTAATAAGCCAAACCTCTATCAGTATCTTGTTTTGATAAGAAAGCAGAATAGATTCTGTGGACTTCGAATTCAGTATCTTTTTAAGCTTGAGATCCAAGTCAACCCATCACAGTCTTCAGGAACTAATAGATAGCAAATTGCCGGTATGTTGAAACACATGTTATGATAGCAGCTAAGCTGGCTGGTTATAATTAGGGGTGAGAAAAAAAAAAGCAGAAATCTGAAAATCGATTTGAAATTATAGTGTTTGGTTTAGTTTAGATCGATTTTTTTTTATTAAGTTCAGATCAATTTTGGATAGTAAGCATATATATTAAGTTTGGATCGAATTTCAGATCGGAAATAGAAAACTGAAAAAAATCGAGTCGAATCGAATTATATATATTTTAAATTTTTATAAAAAAAAAAATAAATTTATATCATATCAAAATATATTTAAATATATTAAAATAATATATAAAAATTAAAAACCAATAAATTAAACCGAAATAAATCGATAAAATTTAGTTTAATTTGGATCAAATAAAGAATCGATTTAAATTTAGATCGAATTTTAAAATTTTATAATATTATATAATATTTAAAAAAATAGAATCGAATTTAATTTGAACTAAACCGTTATCGCATCTAGTTATGACCTTTGCGGTTGAATTAGGGGCAAAAGCTAAAATCAGATTGTCGCATTCAAGGAATTTAGGCATATATTTGTTGTATAACATAGCCTTTAGACCAAAAGTGGGATGATGAATTTCATTAATTATATCATTTTCCTGCTGTTAGAAGATAGTAGAAGAGTAAGAAGTGGCAATGATATTTTTCTGTTAACCAGAAAGGGATTCATGGGCTCTGTCCGATACATCCCTTCCTGGACTGAGTTTATCTATGCCGGACCTAATGAATTCAGGAGAAATTATCTACTCACAATCTCTTAATGGATTCGAAGCCAGGCAAAAAGAAAGTAACCCATTCTCTTGGCCACTTGAGCCAACCATCTGATGGTAATTCGAATGATACTTGATTAATATAGTATTAACTTCTTTGCTGTATATACCATGTGCCAAATGGTGAACATGAACACCCTTTTTATCTTTTTGCTGATCTTTAAAATGGCTTAGAAGTTCAGAATTTTGGCAACCCTTCCTTCCTTCTAGAGTTTGGTTGACAATATGTATTTCCTCTATCACAGGAACTCCACAAAGAACTCGAAAGTTGTACGTGCGGATGCAAACATGGCTCATGATGCTTGATGGCCATGTCTAAGGAGCCCAGCATTGATCTGATTTCCAAATTTTGAAGGTGGGGGATATGCTTAGTGAAGCCAATGCTAATTTTGTTGTCTTATTTTGAGTGAATAATGCAAAAATAGAGGTATAGAACTCTGAACTGTATATAATGGGATGACATTGTTCTTTAGTTTTAGAAGAGATTGATTTGGAAAATGAAAAAAAAAAAGACCCAAATTGTAGTTTAGTGTCCCTTTGCTGTTAGATTCAATGTCTGTCACATAAAATATATTGATGGCAGCGAGAATCGAACTTCTTAAGTGTTATCTTTTATTTTAAGAACATTATACCATATTTTCCATTTTGAAATTGAGTTTGGCCAACTAAATATGGGTTCTTCCAGGAATGGTTTGAAATAGAATTTTTGCTTCTTAAATGACTCTTCCATGTGCCAATCATAAAAAGGTACTTTGGGTCCCAACAAATTATAGAAGTCCGTCTCACCATGACTGGATTTGCAGTCCTTTGTCAATTATTGTTATTAAAAAATAAGTACGAAATTTTGTGTATTTATATAATATAAAATATTAAAATTTATATTTTATATAAAAATTATATATTATAATTTGTATCGATATAAAATTATAAAATATATATTTTTTATTTTATTAAATTTATATATAATTATTATTATAATTTAAAATTATATTATTTTCGTATAATATTTTAAAATAAACTTAATTATTTGAATTTGATTACTATAATTTACAGTCTCAACTCTCAAACGAAGAATTAATAACAGTAAGAGTAGGACAATAACATTAATTGAAAATCTAATTATTACTGCTGCTTGTTTACTCCATATCTATTGTTTTAATCCAAGAAAATTAATCATATAATAAAAATATTACAATACAAAAGCATTTGTTGTCCAAAGGAACAAATAAACTTATGCAAAACACGTTAAAATTACTCTTAAAGGTTATGGTCAAACAACAGTGTCAACATCATTAACATTATATTTTCTCCTTTTTGCTTTATAAAAAGAATTAAAATCACATCATAAAACCCACAAAGTTAATTTCATTGATAAGAAACAAGTTTCTTTTTTTATGAAGGAAACTTCGATGCTTGTGAAAAGTATTTTAAAAGTGAAATTTTAAATGTATAATAATGAAGGAATGCAACATTAAAATCATCCAATTAAATCCAAAAAAATTTTGAGGAAATTAAAATAAAATTACAATTACCAAAGATATTAATATGAAGTAAAATAAATACGTATAAAATATAAAAATTATATTATTAAATTAGTAAAATATGTATTTAATTTTATTTATAAAATTAAAAATTTTAATATCAATATATAAAAATAAATTTTAAAATATAAAAATAAATTTATTTTTTATTTTTTAGTACGATACCATGAACATAAGAACATGAATATAAATTAATAAAGTAATTAGCACTAATTAATTAAGATTTTGAGTTAGTAATAATAAAAAATAAATAAATAAAAGAATCCCATAATTGAACATCAATGATGAATCATGAACCCACTACATGCGCAGTATGTCTTTTCCAGCTTAGCTTCAGACAGAACTTCCACCGCAACAACCCATTCACCTGTTTCTCTCTGTCTCTTCCTTTTTCCTTCTGTCATAACACCAAAATCCAACCGCGAAAAACCAAAGCCAAAGCCATGTCAGACGACGAAGGAGGAGGAGAAGAGTACCTTTTCAAGATAGTAATAATTGGAGACTCAGCAGTTGGCAAATCCAACCTCCTTTCACGCTATGCTCGAAATGAATTCAACCCACATTCCAAAGCCACCATAGGAGTTGAGTTTCAGACCCAAAGCATGGAAATCGATGGTAAGGAAGTTAAAGCTCAGATTTGGGATACCGCTGGTCAAGAAAGGTTTCGTGCTGTCACTTCTGCTTATTACAGAGGCGCTGTTGGTGCTCTTATTGTTTATGATATTAGCAGAAGAACTACCTTTGATAGTGTCGGTCGTTGGCTTGATGAACTCAAGAGTGAGTTTGGTTTTTAACAACCCTTTTCTTGGTTTTGGTTTTCCTATCTGGGTTTTTTATGTTGGCTAGATTGAGTGAATTTATATTGATTTTTAATAGGTTTTACGGTTTAGCTGTGGGATTGGAGGATTTGGTGGTTTGCAGTTGTTGGTTTGCAGTTGTTGGTTTGATGAGAACTGAGGGATATCTTTTTGGTAATATTGAGAGGATAACTTCATTTGATCCTTTTTCTAGGAGGGCTGTGGATTAGATTTTAAAATTTGCTTTTGGTAGATTTGGCATTAAGATGGAGTGTCATAAGAAGATCCATTGAAATATTGAGTTAGGTTTTTTGTTTGTTGATTTTATGGTCTTTCTTTGAGTGCCTTTTTCAGGATTCTATCTTGATTTGTTCATTCAGTTGGTTATGGTGGGTTAGAGCATTAGATCTGATGCTGTAATGATTGTAGTGTAAGGCTTAAGCTAGAAGAAAGCTGAAAACAGCAATAACAAGTGTTCCCTAGAAGAAAACAGAAAACAATTAGCAAGGGACTGGCTTTCTGATGCTTTTTTTTCTTTCATGCCCCCTTGTGTGGATTGTATCTGTTAATGTAGCATTTTCATACAGGATATTTGTTAAATTGCATGTGGCAGATTCTTACCTTGTGTATGCATGTTGCTAGATAGGCACCTTTTCTGATACATATGAAATTCCGATTTCCGTATATTAAGAAGCTATACAACAGCTTATGATCTTGGATTTAGTTGTTCAACTTATTTGACTGATTATTGCCTTGGAAAATAGAGATCATGTGACTATTAGTGATTAGTCAATTACTTCTTTCTCCCCTTGTTTTCTGGTGATATTCATTCTTTTGTCTTATAGAACACGAACCAAGGTTGTCACAATTACGATTTATCCTGAAATTGTTAGGATTATTGGAGCACATCCTTGCTGATATTAATAGAAATTAGTAATAAAGAACATAAGTGACAATATTCAGTGTAGTTTGATGGAATCTGGTTACATTCATAAACAAAGAATTAATTTCTATATATTTTTTTATTTATAAAAACAACTGTAAGAGTATGATAAACCAAAAATGACACTTAAATACTCAATCTCCAAAACATACTTTATTGTTTGTTGTTCTGTAAAATCTTAAGCTTTGGCCTTTGGGACAATTCTTATGCTTTCCAGTGTCTTCTGCACTCTTCTTACACATTTATTAACCCTATAATAACTTTACAAGCATCCATATGTCATCTTACATATCTCTAATGGCAAAATGAGGTTTATAAAACAAAAAGTAGTTACAACCAATAAACAACTATAGACAAGAACCTATTATGATTTATCCTGCACAATTCTTTGTTACTTATTTGAACATATGAATAAGTACAGTCCAAGCAAAAGATAGAATAATTTCAAGGCATTTAATATTTTTTTCTCTTAAACCAAGATTTGCACATTTTACCTTTGGGTCTTTCATCATATCATAATGTTTTGAATTCTCATCCAGGTCCAAAATTCATTGGTAAACTGTTGGATCGACCAAGAATTATACTACTTGCAGCCAAAATCTCATTGCGGTTCATTTTCATGAATATTGTGTATCTTATGGGCATAACCTATTCTAAGCATACTTGCTAACTGAAAATTACTAGCTCTTAGATCATAGACAATTCCATGTATGGAAGATCCATATTTCTTTTTTTCTTTTTTCCTCTTTGATGCAAGAGAACACTAAGACATGAATCTTTAAAACTGCTCGAACGAAGGCTCATAGTTTTCCATTGCTTGACATGTGTTTATGAATCTCATCTAGAGCTAGAAATGGGTAAGTCTAGAATCATTTGCAGGACAATGCTTCCTATGTGTAGTTGTTTTTTGGCTGGCACTTGGCATCTGGGGCTTGTTCCAGCTAGCAGATGCATGTAACTGATAGAGTGTCTTTTAGGCGGTCATAGGATTGTGAAGACGTAGTAAAAAAAAAAAAAGAATAGCCATAAGAATGGAAATCTTTCCATTGTTTGGGATGTTGGAAGGCGATAAAACATGTATAGTTTCAGGGATCAAGTTTTTAGATGCACTAGCAGATTTGTATATTTCATATTCTTGTAATCCTTCATAACCATGGTGGATTTGTCTCTCATTCATGGACGTTACCTGGCTCTGTTCAATCTTATTTAACATTGGTCTCTGATGTCTGTGATTTTATTATTTGGATAGACCTTAGCATTGGACACACTTTTCCAACCTTGCAAGGATAATGAGAGTGGATGGTTTGGCCTTTATGTTTTGGCATGGTATCAAATTTGGTGATGCAAAGGCCCTGGTATGTTGAGAGCGGACATGTGGTTCCTACGGAAGCGTGTGGCTCTTGGATGGTTTAGTGAAAAGAGGGGGAGGACACTCCATTTTGTTGGAAACTCCATGTTATGTTTCGGTGATGCTTGTACTTGTGTTTTCAGTTCTTAGCATTCTTGTGATTGCCCCAGTGAATGGTAAAGATACTCTGTTAACTTTTCAATATAGTGTTGATACACACACATACACCCTATTGCGGACAGGACTGTTGAGACAGAATAGAAGTAGAGTATATAAATTTGAAATGCAAATACTAACCATTAGAAGTTGATAGCCGACTTGGAGAAAAGTTTCCCTTTCTAATGGTTGAGACTGGCTACAAGAGTATCAGGATAAAATTCAAAGACTATCAAAGCTAGCCTACTTATTTCATATCAGTTAGGTCTCTTTTACAGAAGACCTTGGAACTCAAATGATCCTAAAGTCCAAGGAATATCAATTTAATGTTGGTCCACAGGTGCCTTTGATATTCTTCCTCCCTTCTTGTTTCCAACAAAACTTCTTCCAAGATCTAACATGCCACTTATTTACATGGCCAAAGCATTTCTTTGATTTTTATATTTTCTCCTTGGCTTATCTATTTGCTTCTCAAGATTTACCGTATATGTAATTTCTGTCTGCTTTTATGCTCTACAGTGATTTTATATTTGCTTTAAGTTTGGAGATTTAAAGGCTTATGCTTACTTAAAAAACTTTGTGCAGCTCATTCCGATACGACAGTAGCAAGGATGCTGGTTGGCAACAAATGCGACTTGGAAACTATCAGGGATGTGAGTGTTGAAGAAGGCAAAAGCCTCGCTGAAGCAGAAGGGTTGTTCTTCATGGAGACATCTGCTTTAGATTCAACAAATGTCAAGAAGGCATTCGAGATCGTTATACAAGAGATTTACTACAATGTCAGCAGGAAGGTCTTGAACTCAGACACTTACAAAGCTGAATTAACTGTCAATCGGGTAACCCTTACTAAAAGTGAAACCGATGAATCGAAGCAAACCCAAACTTTTTCTTGCTGTTCCAGGTGATCTCGTTCGTTCAGAAAGTGTACCAGTTGAGGCCTTCCCATGGTTTGTCAAATTCAATTTGTTTGGTTGAAATGTTTGTTTTCTTGTTTTCTCAATGGATATGTGTTCAGGGATTCTTTTATTACTGAATAATATCATATTATATAGTTTAAATTATGGTTAAAGAATTGCTTAAGGATATGAAGCTGCACCTGCCATCTTATTTCACATTGTAATACTATCTATTTTGAATTCCATAGCTATCTGATTCATTATTTTCTCAAAGTCATCAATAGCATGTGTTTTCTCATGACCAAAATCAATCTTCCTTCAACTACTAAGTGGAGGCTGAACCGTGGGTACAATTAGACGTAGGGAAGACAGAACCATATTCAATGGGTTTTGATTTGATTTGATTTTTTAAGAGTTTTTTTTTTAAATTAGGTATTGGATTATGGGATGGAAGAAAAAAATTGAGGTTAGATTTTATCCAACTCGATATATATAAAAAAATTATTTTTAATTAATTATTTATTTATTTTTGTATATTTAATTTTATATTTATATTAAAAAAATTATATATTTTATTAATTTCAAAACAAATTAAATTGAGTATGATTTTATGTAATAACAGATCAAATTAAATCTGAATATAAAAAAATTAATAAAAAAACGGATTGAATCAGATTTGTATATAATCAAATTGAATTCGAAATGAAAAAAAAGTCGTTCTGATCTAATTCATTGCTGTCGTGGCAAAATGATTAGGAGATAGACAATGAGACAAAGCCACCGTGGAGCAGCTATAAGAGTGAAACTCTGTAAGATATCGGAGAAGATCACAAACGGAGATTGCTCGCGGCTAAATATGAATATAGATGAAAGATTTATAAAGCCTTTTGTAAGGATCCCGATTTTCCTATTGATATGCGCGACAAACATCGTTATAAGTTGTCCAAGTTGCCAAGAAATAGTTCCTTTGCACGAATAAGAAATTATGTATTTTCATGTATTGCCCTCGTTCCGTATTCGAGTGCCTTCGAATTTACCCGAAATTGTGGGTCTCTTCTTTTGATCCCCTTTGATTTCCTCTTTCAACTTTTACTTCTCCCTCCTTTGATCTTTTGAAATGATTCAGCAATTATCTTTTGAAATGATTCAGCAATTTTTAAAGAAATGTTTAAGATTTCTTTTATTTTTAATTTTACATTTTTTAATTATATAGATTTAAATCGATTTTAAAATTTTACATATTTAAAATTTTGAAGATTATATGTCTTGTATGCTTTGAGTATTAAAAGTTATATGTCACATAAGATTTTTTTATCAATTTAGACGATCATACAAATAAAATGATTATATTAATACACATTTAGATAATTGAGAACTCGATTAAAATTTTTTAAAATTTAAAAACTAAAATAAAATTTGATCAAAGTTTAAGGCCACATATGCTATTTATTATTCTTTTTTTTTTTTGCAAAATGTAATCTTTAAAATTATATACAATTCAAGGCAATATTGTCAATCACATTATAAACCAACATTGCTTAATTGTAACTGATCAATTAGGCCGACCATCACACTATCTTTATTAATGCAATCAAATGGAAAGTTAAACAAAAAAGGGCTTGTTTTTCAAGGGCAATCTTTCCTTATTCTTAAGGGCAGTTTCTTCTAGCCTTAATTTAAAAAAAAAAAAAAAAAAGCCGCAACCTAAAGATAAGAAAAAGAGTTGCTGAGTGTTTAAGATATGAATACCAAAGATGCTACCTCTTACTGGTGACTGCATCGGCGCCAAGCCCATTAACATGAGGTAGTGGAGAACTCCACAATATCTATTGCATGGATGCTTTGGAAGGCTTTCTAATGGGATTTAAATCAGCAATGATAGAATTTTCAAGACCAATTTAGTACTCAATCTATCACATAATCATTATAAGCAAATCAGGTATGTTGTTCTTCACTAAGCTTAAATTAAAATCCAATAACATACAGTCAAGAAGTAGATACATTCTATTCTTTTGTCTAATTATGCATAAATAGATTTGAATATCTTTCATTTATACACTGCAAAACACTTCATTCAACATATAATGGTCATTGAAACTCAAAAGGACTGCAATTGACAAAGAAGCACATGAATCTCTCCCCTTAACATTAATTTTGAAGAAAACGAGACTTACAGCATGGCCTGAACCAATGGTCACATAGGTCAACTTCCTAGATGACTTTGGTGGTGATTCCATTGAAGATGGTAGTAGGTGCAGTTGACTTCTCGATCTAGATTCTCTTGGATTATGATTTATTGTTAGAGACCATGAAAATGGATCTAACTGACTACTAAAGTGAAATCCATGAGAGTGCAACCATGGAGATTGGATAAGCAAAGGATGACAAGAAAATTATGTAACTTAACCTTTTTAAAACAAAAATGCAGGATAACACGCACACACAGATCAAAATTTTTTATGAATCCGACTGTTCTCTATCCATCAGCCAATTCTAAACTTTTGCCCTTAAATTCATTGCCATTTGGTATCGGACCATAAAGACAGACCCGCAGATCACCTTGCACTACTTGCTGGTGAAAGTAGTTCTTATACAAGTCCCAGAACTCATCTCTGCAATTTAAACAAAACATAAATGAATCAAGCATCGCTCAAAGTTCCCAAGTCCATGTAGGGACTTGGTGTCAAAATGTAGCATGGGTGTTTAAGGGTAGGGAAACAAACACGTGCCTACACACACCATTTACAAAAGAAAAACGCGATAAACACAAATCAGAAGGAAACAAAACAGTGAGGAAGATAATGATAAACTTATAAGTTAGCTCATCAACGAACCTGACTTGGGGAAGTGTAAGCAAGGAATAGCCCTTAACATCCGTGTGAATATCAAGCAGAATCACTGATAAACGTGAAAGCCCCAATGCCTCAATGTCAATTAACTTTTTAATTCTGCAATTTAGATTACAAGAGAACGGTCAAAACCATGATTCAATCAGTCATAATGAAAAATCAAGAAAAGATCATGATTAACAAAAAGACTTGAACATTTAAATTCTATGATTACCAAAAGATCTTCATATTTCTTGAGATGACTTTCTCAAAGTTGTCTTTGCTAAACTACTATTTTTTATGATAACTATTAGTTAATTTGACGTTAAAGGTTGGTGACTAACCTACTTGGTGTACCACTAGCAATGTTAACTCGGTTCTTCAGTAAAGATACCTGCAACAACCAAAAAAGAAGCAAAAATTAACTAAGAAATAGGGCCTTCATGCAATAGATATCGAGTAACCAGAGACATGGTAACAAAGTTATATCAGTTCAATAACAAGCCACACAATTGCAATTTTCACAAAGGAAAATTGTTTAATTCCTCCAATTCAACACAGGTAAACAACATAATGCAACTAAAAGGCATATGCAACTAGTCTATAGTACCATATCCAGATGAACTCTATTGAATTTCGTTTCTCATAATTAATCAATTGTGGAGAATCACATATTTAACAACTACCAAACTGTCCAAATTGGATTCCATAAAGCTTAGCTGTCTCCTAAAATACAAACAACATATTCTAGTGAATGAAGATGATATTAGAATCAGAACATGGAACTTCCAAGTCTCAAAAACAGAATATAAAATGATGAAAAATTTTCCCTTGTTCAATATTGACACCCAGAATAACTCCTACTCATGTAAATAAAATCTCAAATGATTTACTTGAAAACAATACAATTTTGAGGATCAGGAAATACAAGATCGAAACCCATGACACTATGAAATATTTTTTATGCAGCAAAGCTAGTGGGGTACAGGCATGAAAAATTTATCACCATTAAAGGAAGCCTTTCATCAGAAAATGATTTCAGGATCCTTTATGTTTATATTAACCTGAGGCAAAACGATTATTTGAATTAACACACAAACAAAAACACCATTACTATATATAAAAGTGGGGAGCCCCTCCCACCACACCATCCCGTGCTATCAAATGCACACCAAACCAAGTAGTCATATTACAGGCTAAGACAGATAACTGGTTGCCAAGTAAGTACAAAACTTAAAAAGAAAATGAAAGAATTTGCAATCAAATGAACTGCAGAATGATATTAAGTGGAGCTCCTCCCTCCAACAATCAGTTGGCCCACAGCTTAAAACAAATTCTACCACCTCTTGATAATTGCCTTTGATACTTGGTAAGAGAAGGTGGGCAACAACATATCAACAATGATATCGTGGAGAGCCAGGCTGTAGCATCGGGAGCCGGTCACACATGAATATATATACTCATACACATGTGAAATCATGTCAAAACAGGAACTTCAGCCAAAAGTGTGAAGAGTATGTGATGGAGATTAGGGGAATTGTTGCAATCTCCATGTAAAGCTTCTTATGTCTTCAAGCTTTTGTTTTGGTTTAGAACTTTTAATTTAAGTGAATTTCAGCAACTTATTATCTTGAACCTCAAGTCATAAGGTATGGGCATGTAACTTCTTTCTTCTTACTTTAATATCAACTCTATTTTAGATTAGAAATCAATCATAAATCAAACCCTTTAAATGCTAAAATAGTAATTTATCTGATCCACCCACAAAAATCTCAACCTTCAATATAAATTATATCATATTTGTTTGAAGTTGCTCTCTTATCAATAAGTATTTAGGCCACCCATTGTCAAACATTCTAAGCGATAAAAGAACAATGCATTTTTTACCATAGCATGGTCACAAAAAAAACAAGCCTCTCAGCAACACAGATTCTGCCCCATAAGAGTACAAGTAACATAATTAACAAGCAAGTAACATTCAAGAAAATTAGGCTCAAGTTATAGAAAAACTACCTGTTCCTTAATCTTCATGTGCTTTGAAAATAGCTTTACAGCATGACATTCTTTAGTCAATGAGCGCATGCCCCTAGAGCAACAACAAAATTTTCAGTTCCTTTCTGGCTAGAATCTAAAGATAAATCAAAATTTAAATAACCTCATGAACATGTACTCCTAGAATAGGGAAAAAATTGAAAGTTCTAGTTAAAGTCTGTTCTTTTCACTTCTCCCATTTTGCTATCCAACAAAGAAACCATTCAAATTTTCTTTTCTCTCCCTTCAATCCACATGAATGTTAACCAGCTATATCAAAAATAAACCTGATAATTTTAAACACAATACGGTTACATAACATGAAAGCGATACAAAAAAAAAAGCGATGTGACTTAAAATTTTAATAAAAATCGAATATGAATTTAGCAAAAACTAAAATATCTATTCCAATTGTTGCACCGTAATTTCCGTGTTTTAGACATTTTTCACACGAAACAACATGGATATACGAATTGTCAAGTCTAATCAAACATAACCTTTTTTTTTTTGCTTTCAGAAACTAAATAAAAAAGAAAAGTAACGACGAAACGGAGGCTAACGAACCTTAAAAGTTCAATAGATCGTAAAGCCGAAGTAGCAAGAACAAGAACAGCAGGACTTCCTGCTTCAATCTTCCCTTCAATGAGCTTCCCTTCACAAAGCTCTTCTTTCCATTTTGCCCCAAAAGCTTCCTTTATATGTCTCTCTAGCCTCATTACATCTTGACCCAACTCTTCAGAAACATCTAAAATACAACTAACTACACAAAAAAAAAGGTGTAACCCAAAGACCCTTTTTAAGTTTTAATAATGTCTGATTAATAAATTTGATTTTACCTTTAATTGATTCCATTTCGAGTGAAGAGAGTTGGACCCCATTGGCGGATTGAAACTGACTTAGAAAATAACTGAGTTGCTGCGACGGTGATGCCGGTGTTGGCAGTGGGTTGTTGCTGTCGCTGGTAACAGTTGTTGTTTTGTTTTTGGTTTTGATTTGGTCGGCGTCGTTTTGGTGATTGTTGTCCTTCTTCGTCTTCTTCTTCTTGGACTTGGATTTGGGTACGTCGGACTTAGAGCCGAGAGGTTTCCCGTTGCGTTTAGGGTTTTGGGGACGTTTCCGTTTCTTCTCCGCTTTCCCGCTCCCCATTTTCTACTGCGGCTTTTACTGAACGCTTGTGCTAGGTTTTAAAACGGTAACCGGCAACCGCTATGCTGTTTTTTTGATTTTTGTTTTATTATGATTATTCTTTTGGATCATTATATTACTACGAAAGCAATAAATTATAAAATAAAATTGAAATATTATTAAAATATTATTTTATCTTTTTACATAAAAAAATCACCAAGTATCAATATTATTAAATTTTTATTTAAATAAAAACGTAACATTTTTATTTTTTATCAATTAAAATAAAATTTTATATGATATAAATAAAATACATAAAAATTTATCACGTAATATAATTAATATATGTAAAAATTAAACAAAATAAAATTTTTTTTCTTTATTTTTTGTTAAATTTTTTTTTGAAATTCAATTAATTATAATTTAAATATTGATTAATTTAATTTTATAACGTGGCTAGATTTTGTACAATTAAAAATTTGATTAATCAAAATAAAAAATTCATTAATACCAATAAAATATAAATTTAAAAGATTATTGATTTTTTATTTCAAAGAAATTTTTTTTATCATTTTGCCAAAAATTTTAAATCTAATTATAAAAAGGAGAAATGCGCGGGTCGCACCTTTTCCCGACTCTTGTGGACTGGACTTGAGGATGGAAATTCCACTTGTTTTTCTATTTTTCCAATATGAAAAAAAAAAAAAAAACTACTGGCCATAATAAAAAAAAAGAATAAAAAAAAAATCAAAAGAAATTAAAAAAACGTAGAGAGGAAGAACAGTAGTTTCTACTGCTGTTAAGGTCTAAATATGTTTCGTCCGATAAGCTCTTACTATTCTCTTCTATTAGTTTCCTTTCTTGTAGTTTCCTTTGCTATAAGCAGCGTACTTAGTTGGGGTGTTATCAACGTCAAGTACAAATTCGCCGGCAGTCAACCTTCTCTTTTTGACTTGAAAGACCACGACATCCGCCGTCAACTTCGAATTCTCGCCGGCGTTGATCTCCCTTTGGGCGGTTCCGGTCTACGTGATGGACTTGGGTTAGTATTTCATCTACAAAATTCAATTTTTTAAACGAAAGTTTCTGTTTTTTTATTTAATTTTAATTTTTTAATTTTTTAGGCTTTATTATGCAAAAATAGGGATAGGAACACCTTCGAAGGATTACTATATTCAAGTAGATACAGGAAGTGATATAATGTGGGTTAATTGTATTCAATGTGAAGAATGCCCCAGTAGAAGCTCCCTTGGTGTAAGTCTTCCCTTTTTTTCTTTGTCTTTCCTCTTTTCTTTTTTTTAGGCTTTGTTTGGGTATTACTTTTATTAATTATTTTTTTGCCAGTGTTTTAATCTTTGATTTGTAAAAGGAAAAGAAAAAAAAAGCCCTTATTTATGGACTAAAAGTAACACTAGACAGTAAAATTATACTAATTGATTAAAAATTAAAAAATGGTTAAGACAAATTATTGATTTTAATATAACTTTTCTATTTAAAAGTAAATAATTCTTCAAAAATAGTTATAGGTTTTTGCATTCAGATGTACCTTTTTGCATTTTGATTCCGAAAGAAAAACCAAGTAGTAAAAGTTACAATGAAATGCTACCTTAAAATAATGTATTTTTTTATCCAAAAAAATTATCCATTTTTAATGTTTGATTTGTAAATTTTTCATTTTTTTGCTTTTGTAGCCAAGCCCATTTTTGGCGTAACAACCAAAGAGTATCTTAGATTCTTGGTTTCTTTAATAATATTTGATTGCATTTGTTTTATTTATATGCTATGGTTACAGATAGATCTTATATTTGATTGCATTTTTATTTTTATATATGCTATGGTTACAGATAGATCTTACTTTGTATGATATTAAGGAGTCTGCCACCGGCAATTTGGTTTCATGTGATCAAGAGTTTTGTTATGCAATAAATGGAGGTACATCAGCTGGTTGTACGGCTAATATGTCCTGTCAGTATCTTGAGATATATGGAGATGGGAGTTCCTCTGCAGGATACTTTGTAAAAGACATTGTACTATATGATCAGGTGTCTGGCGATCTCAAAACCTCATCTGCAAATGGAAGTGTTATATTTGGGTGAGTTGTCAATCCTTCTATTACTCTTCTCTAACTTATACTTATGTGATACATGTGGCATTGTGTTAGCTTTTAAATTTTGAAATTGTAATTGTCTAGGCACGTTCTTGCTAAATACTGTAACTTGCATGTGTAACTACTACTAATGTTATTGCAAACAAATCTCTTTGACTTTTTCAAATTCAGAAGTTCTTGTTTTTCGTCGGTAGATAACAGAACATGACAGTCATCTAGATTGTATGAATTATTTACAAATTATTCTGAAAAGTAGAAAAAGTTTTTAAACAAATCAACTAATGGCTACATGTACTTTCCTGATTAGTTTGTTTTATGGGATTTTCTTTTCTTTGTACATTTTGAATGTCATTGTGAATTTGATGTCTACTTGTCTAGCTTATCATCTTATACATACAAGCATATCTTTTGTGCCTGCCTTCTCTTCCTTTTTTCCCCCCTTCTTTTTCCTTTTATTATAAGGTCCATCATGAGTTATGAATGAGACGCAAAGCCAGTCTCTGACAACAGATTACCATTTTTATGACTAAGATGAATCATCTGATCCATCTTTATTTTGTGTGAAAAATGGGCTTCAAAGGAATCAATTTTACTTATTTGATATGATTTTAGATGATATAGTCATAATGAGAAGGTACCGTCAATGGTACGTAATGTTCATATTGTATAGTCTTAACACAACTTTTATTATTGACAATTGACAAAGTTAAGTTTTATAAGTTGAAGTTTGTGGGAACATTATGAAGTTGCATCAATATCCCCTTGAGGGATCTTTGGAATTACGTCATGAGTTTGATTTTTGTCTAAACACACCTTGGCTTAATGGATGTTTGCTTTTGCATACTTATGTCTGTAAAATATGTGCTCATAACGTCTGTACGTGCTTGCTGTTTGCTTGTGCTTCTTTTTGGTGGTATTATATGGTTATTCTAGCATTCTTTTTTTCATAGGTGTGGTGCAATACAATCAGGGAATCTAGATTCATCTAATGAAGAAGCACTTGATGGAATACTTGGATTTGGAAAATCTAATTCATCTATGATTTCCCAGCTTGCTTCATCTGGAGAAGTGAAAAAGATATTTGCTCACTGCTTAGATGGGGTTAATGGAGGCGGTATCTTTGCTATTGGGAACGTTGTGCAACCAAAAGTTAACATGACTCCATTGGTACCAAATCAGTATGTAACATATTTAGCGAATATCATTGCTTGTTTTTTACCATCAAAGTATTTTCTATTAATTTGGTTTATTTTAGCATTATGTGTTATGAAATTACATTGCTTTTGGAGGAAAGCATCATAGTTCAGTGGGAATCATCATTGTTGTCTGAATGGGCTGAATGAAAATTGTGTGCTGCTAATTATTTTTCATTTTGGCCCATGGATTATTTGTGTTTAGACTTTAGAGTGCAAAACTTTGTAGGGCTTAGCTGAAGGCTTAAGGGGTAACTTGCCCAAAATGATTTGGCTAATAATTTCATCACCCAAATTGTGGTGGTTTGACTGAGGAAGGTTACTCCATTTTCTTGTCAGCCACTGCAAAAAAGGAGATTGACTAGCAGGGAAAAGAACTCTATATGTGACATTTCAACTTTTAGTGAAGTTATTTTGTGATTTGCTTCACTTCATTGTTAAACAGGTTTAAAATGGTTAATTCAGCTGATGTTATAGTTTATAGCAAGCTCCACTAGGTGATAATAGAGAATCACTGACCAATGAAGAATAAAAAGTTACTATTATTATACTACCTCTGTCCCATTTTCTTTGTCCATCTTTCTTTTTTGGGATGTCCCAAAATTATATCCTTTTTCCTTTTTCAGACATCTAAAATTCTTACTTTTTATATTTTAAAATTATTTTTTATGATTTTTTTACTTTTTAACATTAAAAATCATGGAGTTTTAATTTTATAAAAAAAAAATTTTAATTTTAATATTAAATACATTAAAGTCAAAGCTTCTTTCTTAAACTCCATGAAAGTCAATATAACCCAAACATTTTGGGATAGATGGAGTATTATTATTTTTGTCTTTTTGCTGAGCCATTCATGATGATTCCTATGATAATAGGAGCTTCAAAAGGGATGTGGTTCTAAGTGGTCATTCCAGAATTTGATTTGTAAGTTAGCAAAGATTGAGAATTTTGTAGCAGCTGGATTACTTCTTGTGGTTTCTAGAGTGATAAGGGATTAGGAAGAGAAACTACTGGACAAATGGGTAAGGCAAAGTTGAAGAGATGAGATGAATGGGCACTGAATTAAATGTGTTGTACATAACATAATTGAAGTGATCAAAATCTGGAAACATCTCTTGCGAAATGCCGCATGAAATTGTTATGTGCTACATTTTCTTTTGTTTCCATGCCAAGAAATTTCTTTTTGGCTTAAAGCCATTGTTTAGCTCATGATTGACAGCAACACATTCGTACTGACCGAATCAGAGACTAGCTTCTCTATGATACCTTATTAATTAAGTCATTTTCATGATTTTGATTTTCGATGTTGAGTTCATCTTCTAATTCACATTTAGTATATGAATATGCAATTTGATATATTGAACTCTGTCTTGTCATAAAAAATTTCAGGCCACATTACAATGTCAATATGACGGCAGTTCAAGTTGGTCAAGATTTCCTGAATTTTACAACAGATGAATTCGAGCCAGGAGACCAAAATGGGACAATAATAGACAGTGGAACAACCTTGGCATATCTCCCAGAAATGGTTTATGAGCCATTAGTAACTAAGGTATGTGATATAAAATTGGTTTTATCTTCCAGAAAATTTCACTTCAGTGTGCTAAAGTTTTATGTTTTTCTTTTTATCTCTGGTTAGATACTCTCACAGCAGCCCCATTTGGAGCTTCAAACAGTTCATGATGACTATACATGTTTTCAGTACTCTGAAAGGTATGAAGCATTGGTTATAGCAATTGTGACCTTTGAGCACCTGTGGGGCATCCCCTTCTTTTCCTTTGTGGTTCAGTTTTATAATCATTTTTTTTCTTAATGTTTGTTTGTGTTTGCTTCTTTTTGTGCTAGGGCTGAACCTTCTTTTTAGGTGCTTTTAGTAAAATTCTCTCATTGAGGAAATTGTATGCCATTAGTACATGTCTTAATGCCTGTTGATTTAATTTATCATTCTAGCTGTTGATTTAATTTCTTGATGATGCTAGTGGTAGTGCTTATTTCCGTTTTTTCCAAATGTCCTGAATACAGTCTTTTGTCACAATAGCTCTATGCTTCCTTTGGCTAGATTGACTTGACTAAACAATTGCTATATTAGTTTTATATGTTAAACCTTAATTTGATATCAATTCATGTCATGGCAAGCAATGATTTTATTTGTATATATTTCTTTTTTTGCAGTCTTGATGAGGGATTTCCAAATGTCACCTTCCATTTTGAAAATTCAGTTGTTCTGAAGGTTTATCCACATGAGTACCTATTCTCTTTTGTAAGTATGTTTAATTATGCAAATCTAGAATCCGGTCAAATGTCTATCTTTCTTGAAAGATTCATTTAGCTGCCTTGTTCGCAGCTCCCTATCTTTTCATGGTAAGATTGTCAGTGTCACTTATGAAAGTTGTTTGCCTCTCTAACAGAAGTCCTCATGGCAACAGTTTACTGGCATGATGGTTCTGGTCCATCCTAAGTGCCGTGCAGGGACACGGGTGGTAGGGGTGTAAATGATACATTAGTACTCGCAAGCTACTCGGGTTCGATTCGAAAAAAACTCGAATTCGGTTCGATTATTGTCGAGTCGAGCTTGAGCTCGAGTAGCTCGACTTATCGATCGAGCCGAATTCGAGTATTCTTATATCTGACTCGAGTAGCTCGCGAGCCTAATCGAGCTTTTATATTTAAATATATTTTTATTTTTTTTAATTAAAAAAATATTTCGAATCCGAGTTCGAGTTCGAGTTCGAGCATGAATAATCGAACTCTTGTCGAGTATACAAATCGAGCTTATTTTTACCTATTAATCGAGCTTAATCGAGCGAGCTCGGAGTGCTCGAATTCGATCACGAATCGACTCGAGCTTGAAAATAAAACTCGATGAGCTCGAGCCGAGTATCGAGCCCCGAGTTGTGAGTCGAGCTCGAGCTCGAACTTCTCACTACTCGGCTCGGCTCGGCTCGTTTACAGCCCTAACGGGTGGCCAGGCCAACAGCAAAAAGCAGCCAACCTCCCTCCCCTCTTAGTTAACAGAAAAAACATTGTCTATATAGACCAATGCAATTTTATAATTAATGGTGACAATCACTTTATGTTCTGATGAAATAAATATTGTGTTTCCATTTTGTTTGGTCAATGCATAATGCTTTTGTAACAAAGTTCTTTAAGGAACACATGGCATATTTTATTGTCATTATTATTGCTATTATTTAGGGACCCCTTGTGTAACATTTGCCTGGTCTGAGTCTTGCATGATTTGGCATAGTAAGTAGTTATTAGATTAGGTTGATTGAATTTTAAATAGGTTTGTTTTGAGATCTGTGGATGTTTCTGAACTTGGAACAGAATTATAAACAATTAGTGCTTGCATAAATTGATACTACAAGGGTGGATTTGTGCAGAATGGTTTATGGTGCATTGGATGGCAAAACAGTGGAATGCAATTCAGGGATCGAAAGAATATGACCCTCTTGGGAGGTATGCCTTCCAACCATGGCTTTTTGCTACTTCTGAAATGTAGACCCATCCTTCCAAGTACAATTGCTATTCTTTTCATTTACCTTCCACACTTGTGTTTAATGCTGACTGTTATTTGAAGAAGAATATTTGCAGTATCATAGCTCGCATGATTTATTCTAATGTATTGACCATATTCCAATTGGATAATATTTATATATTTTGCATTGGTAGAAAATATTTATGGAATTTTTAATTTTTAAATATTTTTCAACCCTATAATAATTGATTTTGCTGTACAATGGTGGACAATTTGATATAATGCTTTGTCTTCTGGTTGTAACTTGCCAAAAACAAAACTAAGGTCGCAGTTGCTTAAGAGCAAGTTCTACATGACCGATGAAGATTTAGTCCTTGTGCTTCAGTCATGACATGAATTTCATTAGTTCATATGGCTAATGTAACAGTCAGCAAGTAGGGCGTTGCATTGAATAAGGAAAGTACAGGATTGCTAGAAATTGTGTTAGGTTTAAATGGATGAGCAAAATATTAGGGTTTGATGTTTGATTTAGGATAGAAATAATTGAAATTTTAACAGGCTGCAACAATTAAAAAGGAAATAAATCTTGCTCCTGATCTGGGTCAATGAACACAACAGTACCTGCAAATAGTAATCCAGTTTTAGGGGTGATCATGCTTTATACCTCTTATTTCAAACTGAAGGCCCCAAGTCCTCAAAGTCTTCACACAGTTAGGGTTCCCGCATGCAATCCCCAGTACGCATATGAATGTTTGAAATTTTCAGAAATGCTCTCTTTATAGAAACTGTTGCATTCAGGGTTTCCGAACTTTCAATCATCCATGGCCATTGAGATCCAAGATAGAAAACTATAATGATTGACTTAAAACAACTCTTAAAACTATAAATAAAAACCTGACATAAGTGAAACTAAATAAGATTCTAAGGGTCAAAATATGCAATCTCCCAGCAAATCTGGAACTCCACCATAATACCTGGTTCTTAGAGAACACATATCCTGACATTAGGTGGCTTTATGCTGAGTGTAAAAATTTCCATTGCTTTGTCTCAGAAATTATTTCATGAAAACACCTTTTACTGTATCTTGTTTGGAAATATCTTATTCTCAGTTTTTCCTTGGATGATTGGTTCTCTATAATAGAATTTCCCTAATGTTTTTAGAAGGATAATAGGATTTTGTCATTAAATTGGATTAAAAGATCAGTCTTCAAATCCAAGTGACTACGAGATGATTCTTGAGTATGTACTGTTATAGCTTAAGTTATAAATTTGCAAATGAGTAATTTGAACTTTTCCCCTGAATTCTTGTGTTGCTTACAGATTTATCTTTTCAAACAAGCTTGTTTTGTGTATGATTTGGAAAATCAGGTCATTGGATGGACAGAGTACAATTGTGAGTATCATGTTACTTTTCGTTTCTAGTTTGCTTTTATGATTTTTGTACTAATAGTATAAATCTTGGGCTTTGTCTGTTTCACATGTTCTATGTGAGTTATAAGGGATGTTTCTGAATCTCTTTTCTTACTTGATTGCATTTTAATTCTATATTATATATTGTTAATTGAATGTTTTTGATAGGTTATTTGTCCTTTTTCCTTTA